GATTCCACCACTTCCCGGGATGGAGATTCCACCACTTCCCGGGATGGAGATTCCACCACTTCCCGGGATGGGGATTCCACTCTTCCTGGGGCAGCCTGTTCCAAGGTGCTCAAGCACCACTGGAATTATCTTGATCAGCTGGCCACGAGTTGGGTTCATAAATGTGTCTCCTTGAAAGGCAGTAGACGATATTCCCTGACTGTCCTTGTCTGCTCCATCCTAAACACTTCCCAGAGGAAGTGGGAATATGGGACAAATCCAACAGCTTCCATTACCCTTCTGCATTCTTGAGCTGTCATCTCCAGTTAGGTCCACTCTGTATCTTCACCATGGGCTTGTTCCTCTTTCCTTTTGCACATGGAAATGTGGGAAGACATCCTACGAGTGCTCCTGGTATCCTGAATGGATCTTCATCCCAGCTGGGCTGTAAAGACAAATAAAACCCCATTTTGGCCTTCTCCAGGTGCCTGCTGGGCTGGCTGGCTCAGATGTTTTCATGTGAGATGTCCGCACCTTGTGAGCAATTCCATATTCTCCGTGAAGGTTAAAAACCCCTGGATCATCCCTGGAATGCTCATCCCTTCCACAGGAGGAGCTTCCTCCCCAGCCCCAGCCCCTGCCTCATCTGGGGGAAACACCAACTGAACAACTCCACCATTTTCATCCGTTTTTATTTTTTTTTTAACGGTTCTCACTTCTTTGTTGTTTGTTTTCTTTTCCCTGCAGGTAAATTTTATTCTCTTTATCAATATTATCAGAGTCCTCGCAACCAAGCTCCGAGAGACGAATGCAGGGAGGTGCGACTCGAGACAACAGTACAGGTGAGTGTCACCTGTCCTGTCCCCCCCTGGCTGTGGGCAAAGCCCAGGGTGACACTGGTGCTGCCTAAAATAACTTGAAAAGTTTGTTGTCTCCCAAGTGTGGTAATGCAGAATGAGCCAGAACAATTTAAAATTTTCCTAAACCTTTCAAATACAGCCTGCTGGAAGTTAGGGAGGAATTCCAGCTCTTCAGCCAGTTTTTGAACCCAAAGTGCAGAAATAAAACATTGTGCTGTTGAAGGCTGTAAAACTTGTATCAGTTTATTTGCTTATTTTTATTTTCCTCCTGTGCTTTGTTAAGCTTGGCCTATTGGTTAAACCTGCCCTTGAGCGGGTGTTTCAGTGCCTTGGCTGAAATGAAAAAAAGATTCCAATTTCGTTTCATTTTTCATTCGGTTTTCCTTTGTTCTGCCAGCTCGTCTCCCTTGATAATTCAGGTTATTTGTAGCATGGTCAAAAATTGGATGGAAAAATCAGATTGCTGGGACACCACGGCTGCTTCAGAGCTCCCAAGGCTTTTCGGGATCTCCTGGACTGCCCAACAGGACACTTGGGAAGGGGGGAGAGCGGAATGGTTTGGGATGTAAGCCACGAGCTCATTGCTCCCACCCCCCTCTCCAAACACACATTTGAGGCAGGAGGGAGACTTGGCAGGAAAACACCTCCCGGTTCTCCTCGCTGCCCTGTCAGGGCTCTGATTTATGCATTTATTTACTTCTCCCTGGCTGAAGCTTTGCCATTAATTACGGTTTGGATGCGGCCTGCTCCTTTTAAAGTGTTAAATTCCCTGGGTGGTTTGGAGGCGCTGGACGGAGGCGGTGCCGGGGATTTCTGGGAGCCATTCCTGCCCTTCCCGATCCCTGCTGCACCCAGGGACTTGCTGGAACCCTTGGCACGAGGTCGAATCCCTCAATTAATGTCACTTCCAGGCAAAGCTGACTCCCTGCAGGGCCAGCCCAGCCAAATACTCCGGGTTTTAGTGCCTCCGTGGATCCCCAGCGCTGATCCGTGCTGAGGTGGAGCTGCTTCCCGACAAAAGGAGCTTTTCCAAGGGATGCTCAAAGCACCTCCTAGGAGCGTCCACCTCTGCTCTGTCCTCTTCCCCTGGATATCTGGAGCAATTCCACTCCCAACTCACCTCCCTCTCCTCCAGATCTGCTCGTTGCACAGGAGACACTGACCCAGGGTGGATTTTCCAGTCTTGCCTCAAGGGAGTGGCTGAGGTTGGAGAAGACCTCTGGAAGTCAGTTCTCCACCCTCCTGCCCAAGCAGTGGCAGCCACTGCAGGTCGTGTAGGACCACGGGAAGATGGAGAGCCATCCTTTAGGGATAAGGGGATTTGATGGATTTCAGTCGGAGCCTGAGGGCTGGAATCGCAGCACGAATTCCTTTCCTTCTTTCCACCTTCCCCTCATGATCCTGACCCAAACCTGGGGCTGGTCAGAGGCTGGAAAAGCCACCTCAGTGATGTCACCTCCAGCGTCACACAGGGACAAGCTGAGGGTTGGACTGGCACATGCTGGAGCATGAACCAACCATTGGAATTCCAGGTGGAATTCCACAGCACCTGTGTAAACATCCCATATCCAAGGGGTCAGGGAGAAAACCACAAGCAACTTGTGCCCAGTGACAAACCTGGCTGGGCTGGGGATGCTGGAGAGGTTTATCCATGCACTAATTCCTTTTTCCCCCTCTTTTCCCCCCTCTTTTTCCCCCTCTTTTTTTTTTCCCCTCTTTTTTTCCACCCTCTTTTTTTTCAAATTTTTTCCCCCTCTTTTTTTCCCCTCCTTTTTTCCCCTCTTTCCCCCCCTCTTTTTTCCCGCTCTTTTTTCCCTCTTTTATTTTCCCCCTCTTTTATTTTCCCCTCTTTTATTCCCCCCCCTTTTATTTCCCCCTCTTTCATTTTCCCCTTCTCTTTATTTTTTCCCCTCTTTTATTTCCCCCTCTTTTATTTTCCCCCTCTTTATTTTCTCCCCTCTTTTATTTCCCCCCTCTTTTTTCCCCCCTCTTTATTTTCCCCCTCTTTATTTTCCCCTCTTTATTTCCCCCCTTTTTTATTTTCCCCCCCTTTTTTTTCCCCCTCTTTATTTTCCCCTCTTTATTTCCCCCCTCTTTTATTTTCCCCCTCTTTATTTTTCCCACTCTTTTTTTTTTCTCCTCTTTTTCCTCCTTTTCCCCCTCTTTTTTCCTTTTTCTCCCCTTTTTCCCCCGCTTTTTTCCCTGCAGGAAGCTGCTGAAATCTACCCTCGTCCTTATGCCTCTGTTTGGCGTTCACTATATTGTTTTCATGGCTATGCCATACACAGACGTGTCAGGGATTCTTTGGCAAGTTCAAATGCACTATGAAATGCTGTTCAACTCTTTCCAGGTACTGGAACGCCGGGAAAACCTGGGAATTCCAACGGGGAGAGGAGGGAAATGTGGGTGCACGGCTGCCTTTGGGAGCGGGGCTGGGTTTACAGTCCACTAGAATTAATTCTTGAGGGGATTTGAAAACATTTTACCCTCAAATCTGTTTTCTACTTGCAAAATGCAACAAGAAAATGGGAAATCTGTCCAGCAAAAAAATGTTCTTCCCAAAGCACCCCGGGATCCCACTGGCCTCTTGTCCCCTCTTGGCCTCTGCTGGCTCCTTGTCCACCAGGAGCTCCATCCACAGGGAATTTTCCCTGTCCCCTCTCCCGCCCCACTGAACAATCCCACATTTCCTCAGCAGGTTCTGAATGTCCCCAGTCTCAGAGAAACCTGGGCGTGCTGGGCAGGAAAGAGACCCAAATTTCCCTAAATTCCCATTAATTTGTTGTTTCTTCCTCCTCCCAGGGATTTTTTGTTGCCATCATATACTGTTTTTGCAATGGAGAGGTGAGTCGTGAATATCTTCATTCCCTCCTTTCCTGGGTTAATTCCACTCCCAGGTGGATGCACATCAGCACATCCTCATTTTTCTGCAACGAACAACTTTATTTTGCAGTCCAAGGTCTCTCAGTCCCAATAAAAAAATTCAAATCCTCATTTTTTTCCGGCGGAAAACCCCCAGGTCAACGTGGCACTGAAAAATGAGCTACTGGAAGCAGCTAATGGAGGAAAAAAAGTGGCATTTTTAATTTCCTACCTCAAGCTTAGTGCTGCTTCAGTTCAAATTAGTTAGAAAAACAGATTGATAGAGTCACTGATTAACAAAAAAATCTGGATTTTCTCTTTTGACTTTTTTTTAATCTATTTCCAGAATAATATACTTTAATTTTCTCATTTCCATTCATTCCCTCTATTGCTGCTAATTAAGAAAGTGGATAGTCAGTAGCTGCACCCCACGGAAGAACTTCCAGAGACTGGCATCAAATGAAATTTATGGATTTTAAAGGGAATTTATGAACTAAATTTATGTATTTTAAGGGGAATTTATGACCTAAACTTATGGATTTTAAGGGGAAATTAAACTACAAAATCACTGTTTGTGTTCTGCAGATGAAACAAGGATAAAAACTAAGGGGGATTGATCTCATCCTAAATTTAGCAATCTATGTTAGACCCAGTCTAAAATTCCCATCCTAGGGAAATTTCTCAGGATTCAGGTGCCTCTCAAGGTAGTTTTCCCACTGACACTTGATTTTTATGGGACATTGAGACAATTCCCTCCCGGATGTGCTGCTCTCCATCCCTTAACCCTTGGGCATCCCTCGCCTTTCCGACCAGAGATTTTCAGCCGTTCAAACTTCCCAGTGTCCAATATTTAATCGATATTGCAGATTTAATGTGAATTCATCGTTCTTTCCAATTCCACGGAATCACAGAATCTCCTGATTTGGAAGGGACCCATAAAGACCATGAAATTCCAAGTCCCCCACAGAGTTTCCCACCCATTCCATCCACATTTTCCCAGCATTTTCCTTCTCCCACTCACAGGGTTTTTTCCCCCTCCTTTTTTTTTTTTTTTTTTAATCCTCTCATTTTCTAGCAGAAATAAAGAAGTCATGGAGCAGGTGGACTTTAGCACTTGACTTTAAAAGGAAAGCCCGGAGTGGGAGCACAACCTACAGTTATGGACCAATGGTTTCCCACACCAGCATCACAAATGTAGCCACCAGAGGGGCGCTTGCCCTGCACCTCAACACGAGACTTATTCCAGGGACCCTCAACGGCCACCGGAATTTGCCAGGTTATGTGAAAAATGGCTCCATTTCAGAGAATTCCATGCCTTCCTCCGGCCCGGAGCAGTACAACAAAGATGAGGAGTACCTGAACGGCTCCGGGCTTTACGATGGAGACAGACCCACGGTCCTTGTGGAAGAGGAGAGAGAGACAGTGATGTAGAGACAGGAGGAGGGGAACAAAAAAATCAGCCAAAGGATGCACAGAAGGTTCCTGGAGAGCATTTAGTGGGAAAAGACCATCAGGCCATGCAGCGGATTCCAAGGGTTTCCATGCAGCTCCTCTGTTCCGTGGAATGGCAGATTAAGTTATTTGGGGGGGGGGGAACAAATAAGTGAGCCACCGACGTGGCCAGCGGGTGATGCCATCCATGAATTCCGTGATCCAGGTTCTCCTGGTGACAACAGAGCTCTCCAGACCTGCTGGACACCGGAGATGCCGGGAGCTCGCCGGGGAGGGCTGCAAAGCCCTGCGCGGTCCTTGGATCCCTCGGAGAGTTGGGGTGGCCAAGGAAGACGGGAGCGTCCCCCGGGAAGGCAGGAGGCGTGCAGGGAGGGTGCAGTGCCATCGTCCTGGGAGGGGACAAGCCACCCTGGGAGGGGACAAGCCACCCTGGGGGTCCGTGGCTTGGGTTTGGTTTGTTCTCTGCCTGTGGATCTGCCTGGTGACACACACAGAGTTGGGGAAGGCCCCGTGATCCGTCAGTCACGCGTTGGGTACGACAAGCCCCGTGGTCCTCTTCCCTTGGGAATTCTCGCTCCTCTGGGGTGGGGAGGGTTAACAGCTCGTGGATGCAGGAAGGGTTTGTCCTCTCCATTCCATGAGTCCTGGGAGCAAGGCAGGAGTCGGGACAATTTTAGGGTTGGATGTGGTTATCGGAATGTGCGGCATTCCTGCTCTTCCAGAGGGGCAGGTGAAGAGGGAACCACCAAGGGCACGGAATTTGCACATCCCAGAGCAGTGGTTGTGGCTAAAATCAGCTCCCAGGGCGGAGAACTCAGCCCTCCCTTTTTGTGGGTGTCCCTGGAAAGCGGCTTCCATCCTGTCTTAAATCTCGGGATTGTTCCTTGCTCTGCCCTCTGAATGTCCTGGTCCACGGGGTCATGGAATTCTGGGATGGTTTGGGTTGGAAGAGACCTTAAAGGTCACCTCATTCCACCCCCTGCCATGGCAGGGACACCTCCCACTGTCCCAGGCTGCTCCAAGCCCTGTCCAGCCTGGCCTTGGGCACTGCCAGGGATGGAGTATCCACAGTTTCTCTGGACAATTAATCCAAACCCTAATGAGGAGAAAGATTCCACCAGCAGCAGCCAGCTGCTCTTCTGAGGGCTAATTAAGGATTAATTTCCCCAAACTCTGAAGGAAGTCAGGAAGAGCAGGTGGGATCCTGACTTTGTGTCCCACATCTTTATCAACTTCTCAGATTAGGGCCTGACCAAAGCCCGGCGGAATCCAGGGAAAAATCTCCTCCCTTTGACGAGTCCAAGGTTTGGATTCACACCTGGTGGTGGATGTGGTGACTGTGAGGTTCTGACAGAAGCTGGAGCTCCTCCCCATCTATTGGAGGTTACAGAATCCCAGAATCCCTGAGGTTGGAAAAGCCCTCCAAGGTCATCAAGTCTGATCTGTGTCCGATGCCCACCAGAGCTCTGAGTGCCAGATCCAGGAATTCCTTGGACACCTCCAGGGATGGGCACTCCAAACCTCCCTGGCAGCTCCTTCCAAGGCCTGACCACCCTTTCCTTGGAGAAATTCCTCCTGGTGTCCAACCTGAACCTCCCTGGCACAGCCTGAGGCCGGTCCCTCTTGTCCTGAACAGAAATCTTTGGCAGCCAATATTTATTTGTGATGTTCTTTTCTTGTTTAGCCTCATCAAAAGAAGTCAAACCTCATCATAACCATTTCCCACCAAATAAGAGTAATCAAAATATCAACTTTTCAAAACTTAATCCTTTTTGCCGCTCTCTTCTTCTACCCCTCCTGATTTTCTGGCTCAAAGACATTTCTAAGTTATCATTTCACTGCTGGAACAAAGCAAAAATACCAAAAAACCCCAACCAGTGACTCACTCTTTGCTTGTGTTTTTTACTCAAGATTGAGAACATTTGACAAACCCTCAGAAATTTAAGGAATCAGCAAAAGCCATAAATTTATTTATAAGCAAACATATCCCCCCTCCTAAAACACAGCTCTCACTGAAATGAAATCAATACTGGATTATTTAGGATTAAAATAAAAATTACAGGCACTAGGGTTGTGCAGGGGGAAGAAATATTTTTTTAAATACTTTGAATTGTGAATCATAAATAGATTTTTATTTCCTGGATGTTTTTGTGCATGGGCAACATCCGTGTAAAAATTGGGATAATGCTGACCCCAAAACAGGGGGAAAACTGCCACCAAGGCCCAGCAGGATCTGCTTGTCACAGTGTGCTCCCATCATTCCTGGTCCCAAACTCTTGATTGAGTGTATGGATCAGGATTATCTGGAGATCCAGGGTCATCCCTCCTGGATTTTAGTGAGGAAGAATCAGAGCTGGGATGTCTGGAAAGAAAGAAGAAGCCCCAGTTTGAGGGTGGGATTTGCCCTGGAAGGACAAATGGAATGATCCTGTTGGGGCTTAGCCAGAGCCTCTGGATCCAGAGCAGGCTCCTCTTCCCTTCCTCCATCACCAGGGGCTGAGGACATTTCCCAGGGAGTTTGTCCCCATCCGAAGGTCTGAGTCCCCCTGGGATAACATTCCCTCCCCTGTGGGATTTTCCTGTGGAAACACAGCCCCAAAGGCCACGGGAAACAGAAACCGTGGAGGGGAGGATTCATTTGTTCAGGATTCACCCGCTACCCTCCACAAATCCTGCAGGAATCACAGGGGCTGTGCCCACCCTGGTTCAGATCCAACATGGGATCGTGGAGTGGAGAGAGCAGATTGGAGCTGGGGTGTAGCAAACAGCATGGAGTCATTGCCATGGAATTGTTGTCATGGAATCATTGCCATGGAATCACTGTCATGGAATTGTTGCCATGGAATTGGTGTCATGGAATCGTTGCCATGGAATCGTTGCCACGGAATCGTTGCCATGGAATCGTTGTCACGGAATCGTTGCCACGGAATCATTGCCATGGAATCGTTGTCATGGAATCATCCCAGAACGAGTTGGGTTGGGAAGGACCTTAAAGCCCATCTCATTCCATGGGCAGGGACACCTTCCACTATCCCAGGTTGCCCCAAGCCCTGTCCACCTTGGAAAGTAGGGGAAGAAACTTTCCCAAGTTCACTTCAAGGAGGAGGAAAAGATCCCAAAGAGCTGTTCCCTGTTTTTCCCTAGTTTTCCCTCCTCCTTTGTGCCAGACCTGTGCCTGTCTAACTCTCATCCTAGAAAACACCTGGAAATACTCCATGGAGTATTTCCATGGAACCTCTCACTTCCCCAAGCCGAGCTGTGCATTGCAGTCTTCCGGCTGACTGGCTCACACGGAATCTCCCTGGAATCTCTTGGATCATCATCCTCTTCTCCAGAGCCACGTGTTGGGCTCGGACAGGGAATCTCACCCCTGGCAGGTTCCTCTATTGTTCCTCTTCTATTCCCATCCACAGCAGCAGAGTACTCCTTGGGATTCCTTGCTCCATGATCCCGCTCTTTTCTGGGATTTGACAGCTGTTTAATCTTCCTTTTATTTCTTCGGGATGAGTTTTGGCAGCAGTTTCACCAGTCCTGCTCCTCCTGGATAAGTTTTCCTGCATTCTCCATTCCCCTTGGTCCGAGTTCGGATGAGATCATGTCTTGTCCTACCCCTCATCATTCCTCAACTCTGCTGCTTGTCTTGTTCTGGAGCCAAAAATGTTCACAAAGATCTCCAAAAGTCAAATTTTTTAGCCAGGGATTGGCTTTGTTTTTCTGTTTATGGGCAATCAGCTGGAGGTCAGGGAACATCCACAGTGCTGGGAAGAATTTCCCACTTTTTAAACCAGGAAAATCCACAGAAAGGGAAGATCTCCAAAGTTTTTATTCCTCTTGGTTGTCTTGACAAACTTGGTGACTGAAAGGGCTTTTAATTTAAGATTCTGATGTTTCAAAAAGTTAAGAAACCTCATTTATAGGTTGGGTTTACATGTCCTCCTCGCTTTTCCCAAGTCCTCCTTGATGTTCTCAGGTCCTCCTCAGTGTTTCCAGGTCCTCCTCAGTGTTTCCAGGTCCTCCTTGATGATTCCAGGTCCTCCTTGGTGTTCCCAGGTCCTTCTTGGTGTTCCCAAGTCCTCTTCTGTGTTCCCATGTCCTCCTCAGTGTTCCCAGGTCCTCCTCGGTATTTCTAGGTCCTCCTCACTGTTCCCAGGTCCTTCTCTGTGTTTCCAAGTCCTCCTTGATGTTTCCAAATCCTCCTTGGTGTTCCCAAGTCCTCCTTCATGTTTCTAAGTCCTCCTTGATGTTTCCAGGTCCATCTTGGTGTTCCCAGGTCCTCCTCAGTGTTCCCAAATCCTCCTCAGTGTTCCCAAATCCTCCTCCATGTTCCCAAATCCTCCTCAGTGTTCCCAAATCCTCCTCAGTGTTCCCAAATCCTCCTCGGTGTTCCCAAATCCTCCTCAGTGTTCCCAGGTCCTCCTCGGTGTTCCCAGGTTCTCCTCAGTGTTTCCCAGGTCCCCCTCCATGTTCCCAGGTCCTCCTCGGTATTTCTAGGTCCTCCTCACTGTTCCCAGGTCCTCCTCTGTGTTTCCAAGTCCTCCTTGGTGTTCCCAAATCCTCCTTGGTATTCCCAGGTCCTCCTCAGTGCTCCCAGGTCCTCCTCCGTGTTTTGAAATCCTTCTCGGTGTTTCCAGGTCCATCTTGGTGTTCCCAAGTCCTCCTCAGTGTTCCCAAATCCTCCTCAGTGTTCCCAAATCCTCCTCGGTGTTCCCAGGTCCTCCTCGGTGTTCCCAGGTCCTCCTCAGTGTTTCCCAGGTTCTCCTCAGTGTTTCCCAGGTCCTCCTCGGTGTTCCCAGGTTTTCCTCAGTGTTTCCCAGGTCCTCCTCGGTGTTCCCAGGTTCTCCTCAGTGTTTCCCAGGTCCTCCTCGGTGTTCCCAGGTTCTCCTCAGTGTTTCCCAGGTCCTCCTCAGTGTTTCCCAGGTTCTCCTCAGTGTTTCCCAGGTCCTCCTCGGTGTTTCCCAGGTTCTCCTCAGTGTTTCCCAGGTCCTTGTCAGTGTTCCCAGGTCCTCCTCGGTGTTCCCAGGTTCTCCTCAGTGTTTCCCAGGTCCTCCTCAGTGTTTCCCAGGTTCTCCTCAGTGTTTCCC